AGACCAACAAACTTAAATTAGCTTAAACACCAAAATGTTCTACCTGCATCCATTTTAAAAAACAATCTGTTCCCTATGGTCAGTTCTTACCTGGGATCCTGGTGGGGAAATCTGAAATGGGCAGTCCAAGTGGGTGCTCTTCCCTCTTTGACACAGAGGATGGGAGGAGGAACCAATGAGGAGGCAGAGGATGGTATAGAATCAGTTATGTAGGCCACACCCTAGGTGATGCAGAAACAGTAGGAGACAGAAGAGGTGAGATGCCACCAGGAGGTGAGAAAGAAGGTTCCCAGTCTTACATCTCCTCAGCTCAGGCAGGAGCTGACACCATATTTGTATTCCTTTCCACCAACAAGTGGGAATGTACAGTCCATGTCAGACCAGAGAAGACAGAATTTTCCCGAAACAAAGGGAGTTTCAGCAGCTGTTCTGCTTGGTAATATTCCTTAAAGTCCCTGTCCTGAGGTAGACTAACCACAGGTGGCTCCCATTAGAGCCATTAACCAGGAAACGAATGAGCCAGAAGCCCCCACGTCTATTAGAGGGACAGAGAGAGAGAGAGTCAGATAACCATTTATTTTGCCCCTTTCCTTTGTTCTTGGGCAGCCTATCTGGGGGGAGGGGCATGTTTGCAGCCTGTCAGCTGGCCTTATGCTCCCTCATCAGGATCTAAGTTCTTTTAAAGAACTTAATGACTTCTTGTTGGGGTCCATCCTCCAGTGGGTATATTGTGCCACTGGTATATTCAACCTGAGTTGATTGGAAGGCCAAAATTGGCAGCTTTTTGTAACAGGAGAGGGGCACAGCTTGGACTTGAGGGCTGGGATGCTGTCTATATGTGCATATGTGAAGACTTTCATGGTATGGGAAAGAGCTAGAGTCAGGGAAGGAATTAGAAGTGGGATTGGTTAAAGTTAAGGGCCGTCTCTCTATGGAGAGATACCAGTGTAGATAACATACAATGTTATATTACTTTCAAGTGTACAGTAATGATTCCATAGTTCCGTGTATTTCTCAGTGCTCATCAAGATTAAGTTTACTCTTGATCTCCATCAACTATTTCATCCATCACCCTACCAATCTCCCCTCTGGTAACCATCAGTTAAGAGTTCGCTTTTTGATTTGTCTTTTTCCCCCTCCCCCCTTTTGTTCATTTGTTTTGTTAAATTCCACATATGAGTGGAATATGGCATTTTTCTTTCTCTGACGTGCCTATTTCATTTAGCATTATACCTTATACATCCATCCCTGTGTTGCCAATGGCAAGATTTCATTATTTTTTATGGCTGAATATTTCATTGTATATATCATATCTTCTTTATCCATGTAGCTATAGATGGGCATTTGGTCTGCTTCCTTAGTTTGGCTGTTGTAAATAATGCATAGGGATGCAGGGGGCATCTGGATGGCTCAGTTAAGTGTCTGACTTTAGCTCAGGTCATGATCTCACAGCTAGTGGGTTCGAGCCCCCTCATTGGGCTCTGTGCTGACAGCTCAGAGCCTGGAACGTTCTTCGGATTCTGTGTCTCCCTCTCTGCCCCTCCCCCGCTCGTGCTCTGTCTCTGTCTCTCTCTCTCTCTCTCTCTCTCAAAAATAAACATTTAAAAAAAATAATGAATGGGGATGCATATAATCCTTCGAATTAGTGTTTTCAAATTCTTAGGGTAAATACCCAGTAGAGCAATTACTGGGTCACAGAGTAGTTTTATTTTTATTTATTATTATTATTTTTTTTAATTTATTTATTTATTTTGAGAGAGAGAGGGAGAGCACTTGTGCATGCATGCGTACACTCAGGTGAGGGGCAGAAAGAGAGAGAGAGAGAGAGAGAGAGAGAGAGAGAAAGAGAGGGAGAGAGAGAAGCCCAAGCAGGCTCCATGCTGGCAGCACGGGACTCGACTCATGAACTGTGAGATCATGACCTGAGCCAAAGAGTCGAATGCTTGACCGACTGAGCCACCCAGTCGTCCCTATTTTTAACTTTTTGAGGAACTTTCTTACTGTTTTCCACAGCGGCTGCACCAGTTTGCATTCCCACCAGTAGTGCACAAGGGTTTCCCTTTTCTCCACCTCCTCACCAACACTTGTTTCTTGTGTTTTTGACTTTAGCCATTCTGACACATGTGAGGTGATAGCTTATTGTAGTTTTGATTTGCATTCCCCTCATGATGAGTGATCTTGAGCATGTGTCTGTTGGCCATGTGTATGTCTTCTTTGGAGAAATGTCTGTTCATGTCTTCTGCCCATTTTTAACTGGATTATTTGTTTGTTTGCTTTCTGATGTTGAGATGTATACTTTTTTTAAATGTATTTTGGATACTAACCCTTTATTGGATATGTCATTTGTAAATATCTTCTCCTATTCAGTAGGTTGTCTTTTAGTTTTGTTGGTTGTTTCCTTTGCTGTCCAGAAGCTTTTTATTTTGATGTAATCCCAAAAGTTAGTTTTTTCAAAAGCCAAGTATTTTAAATTTGAACTTGGCCTTCCATGTTTTTGTGAAGGTATCTTTGCAATGTAGGCAAAGAGAATATACTTAGAATTTGATATGATTTAAAGAATGATTTATCATTTTAACATATTTAGACGCATGCTATATGGGCCCTCATACTACCATTCTTACTATGGGCCCCACAGTTTTAGAGGTCTTACTTAAGACTTGAAAATTATGACAAAAAGATTATGTAACTACATAAATGCAAATATAATTATGTGTAAATGCAGTATTTCTGAAGGCTATATTATGATTAAATTGTCATACCATTTCTATATCTGCTAATGTTTATATTTTTTAGTAAACTTCATAATCTTTTAGGTATACCAATATTGAATTTATATTCTAGTTTTAGTTAGATTCAGATTTAAATATCTAATTTCAATTACTTTGAATGTTTTAGATAAGATAGAATTTAGCGATTGATCTGTTCTAACTATTTCAGTACTCAAATCTAATTCTGACTTTTTTTAATAAAAGAAAGAAAAAACACTAATGACCATCAAATATCACAAATTTAGCCAAGAAAATGAGGTACCATTTTAAGAATCTTTATGCAGTGTCTTTGAGAAGAACCACGTTTCTCATTGTCCATGTATATTTTGTCATTTCCTTATCCCTTCGTTCAGCTCAGTTTTAATTCAGTGAATGTATGTTACATTCTTCTCATTCTTGACCTTTCTTTCCATCTAAGTATTTCCCCCACACCCAACACATTTTAAATAAAGACATAAAATGATTTCAGAATTTATTTTTGTCACAAGAGGCAATTTTTGACATTTTAGTTAAATTTCATATTTTAGGAGTAGTTGTGATGACCATGATTAACACTTTTTATTAATATGAAGAGATACAGTGTGAAGGTTTTAAGACGTAATTATTTAAACAGAATTCATTGAGAATATAGCCCTGTCATTCTATATGGAAAAGTTCAGGATGCGGTATAGACATGCATTTCCTGAGAAACAAAATCAGTTCTTATTAGAAATTATCTAAAATAAGAATAATCATTTGTTGAGTACCCTCAGAGGCTCTCCAATGGGTGAAATGCTTGGAGTTTTAGATACTGCTTTTGATATTTCACAAATTTTATTATTTACATCTTGCTTCACTGCTTATATTCAAAATGGTTACTTTGCTTATTCAATAAGCTATAACAGGGGCACCTGGATGTCTCAGTCGGTTGAGTATCTGACTTTGGCTTAGGTCATGATCTCATGGTTCATGAGTTCAAGCACCACATGAGGCTTGCTGCTGTCAGCCAGTCACTGCAGAGCCCACTTAAGATCCTCTGTCCCCCTCTTTCTACCCCTCCCCCACTTGCAGACTACAAAAAAAATAAATATTTTTAAAAAATGAGCTATGATAATGCCGGTTTGCCTTAAATTCAAATGTAAGAATTACATAAGACCCATGATTGCTAGGATGAAAAACATTTAGATGAGTAATTGCATGTATCTTTATGAGATTATTGGATCACTCCTATGTTTATCAGGGGTGTTTTGCAAAATTATATCCACCATTCCAAAGGAACTTATTGTTTTTTCTGGATAGTATCCTCTCAATTTAAAGCTAGCAACTTGTAAATGAAATTTCAGATACAGATTATTTTTAAGTTTGCTTGAGAATATAATTCTTTTTTCATGGAAATGTACAGTAGATATTGAAGACATTTAAGTGTCATAACTATCCTGTAGACTGAAGAAAGTAGTCAATCTGTTAGAAACTACTAATTGAAATTCAACGAATCTTGATTAAGTGACTCTACTGCCAATTAGAGTAAGAAACTGCAAACAGAATGTGTCAAATAATCATATTATAAATCACTGAAGTCTGGTATTAAGAAATAAAATACTTATTCACGATAGAAAATTGTTTATTATTTCCAGTATATATTAATAGAAATGAGAAATTATGATAACTAGCATGTTTTTCCAAAAAGGCTATAAAATTAACAGAATGGTTTGTTTTTAATCTATTGAAAGTTATCACTGTTTCTATACAAATAAAATACAATTACAATCTAAATTTATAATGTGCAGTTATCAATATTATATGTGTAAATGCGGACGATGCCAGCTTACTTCAAGATACTTAGAGATTTTTATTAATTTTTTAAAAAAGGATCAACAAAGTGTATTTATTTTTGAGACTGAAACAGAGCATGAGTGGGGGAGGGGCAGAGAGAGAGGGAGACACAGAATCCAAAGCAGGCTCCAGGCTCTGAATTCACCAGCCACCAGTGGGGCTTGAATTCACCACCCATGGGATCATGACCTGAGCTGAAGTTGGACGCTCAACTGACTGAGCCAGCCAGGCACCCTTCAGAACCTACATTCTTAACCAGAGGTTCATGGTTAAAATCCTGCTGCATTATTGGTTTGAATAGCTTCATTTGTATCCTTTTTATTCATGTTTCTTTGCTAAAACTGAAAATATCAGAAGTAATCATATCTGCTTAACCACTGTGGTTTTATAATCACTTAATTTTTTTTTTCCTTCTTGCAGTGGGATGCCATCACTGAAATGGATGAACACAATAGGCCCATTCACACATACCAGGTATGCAATGTAATGGAACCAAACCAAAACAACTGGCTTCGTACAAACTGGATCTCCCGCGACGCAGCTCAGAAAATTTATGTGGAAATGAAGTTTACATTAAGGGATTGTAACAGCATCCCATGGGTTTTGGGGACTTGCAAAGAAACATTTAATCTGTATTATGTGGAATCAGATGAGTCCCATGGAATTAAATTCAAGCCAAGCCAGTATACAAAGATTGACACAATTGCTGCTGATGAAAGTTTTACCCAGATGGATTTGGGTGATCGTATCCTGAAGCTAAACACGGAAATTCGTGAGGTGGGTCCTATAGAAAGGAAAGGATTTTATTTGGCTTTTCAAGATATTGGGGCATGCATTGCCTTGGTCTCTGTCCGTGTTTTCTACAAAAAATGCCCCTTCACTGTTCGTAACTTGGCTATGTTTCCTGACACCATCCCAAGGGTTGATTCTTCTTCTTTGGTTGAAGTAAGGGGCTCTTGTGTGAAGAGTGCAGAAGAGCGTGACACTCCTAAACTATATTGTGGAGCTGATGGAGATTGGCTGGTTCCTCTTGGAAGGTGTATCTGCAGTACAGGATATGAAGAAATTGAAGGTTCTTGTCACGGTAAGAAAGATGCATTCAAATAATTTATCATGCATTTAAATAATGTTTTTAAAAGGGTAAATTTATTATACATTTATTTTCAAGTGATAAATTTTTAAATGCTATTACTGGTAGAATTAATTATGCAAGAAATTATTAACTATAAGATAGTTTCTTACTACTTTTCCTCCTGGAGAGGATATATGAAAATATAAAATAAATTGTATACCATGACAAGTGTTGCTCCATACTGAATTCGGTAAACCAGTTAAACTATGTGAATGGCTGTATTCACCAAATTTTTATAAAGGAAAGCAACATTAATAGCAGCAACAAAAACCAAAAGGGATTCAAAATGAACATTTGCTCAACTTTCAACATTTGCTCAATGATGACCTATAGAGAATGTGGCATTTAAAGATAGTTTAAAAATAATTCTCTCATGTTTACTGATAGTAATTGTATAGTACATAGAGAAAATGAACTTATATTTAAATAAGTGATAAATTCACATATATGTTACAAAAACATATAGGATAGTTTATGCAGGTGTGTTTGGTGATTGAGTAGTGACTATACTAGAGCTTAATTTATCTTTTGAAACTATTAAATACAGTTTTCCACCATATAACAAATTACCTTTTAGTTGTAATAATAATATTTCTGTAAGATCTGTCAGGAAATATTAACACAAGGGTAACTAAGTTAAAGCCATACCTTTCACATTGTTATGATAATAAAATACCTGTAATTTTCAAGGTAGAACATTTTTTTCTTTATATATGAATCATTTTGTAAGGGCTTATTAATATAATATATTTATACATTAACAATTTTTACATGAAGATAATATATATCAATTGTGTTTGGATTAAGATCTTATAATCAAAATATAAATATAGAAATAAAATTATTGTAGACAAGTATTAACATAGTGCAGATATTTCCCTCTTGATGGTAGGTGATTTATAAGTTTCTTTTCTGTAGTACCATATTAAATTTAGTGATTTCTTTTTTTGTGGTATATTCACGTTCTTTAAAAAGGATGATAATAAGAAAAAACATACTTGTATGCATGTAAGGGTCATGGGAAATATATGTGTTTTTTAAAAACTTTTTTTAACCTTCTTTATTATTGAGAGACAGAGAGAGACAAACTGTTAGCAGGGGAGGGGCAGAGAGAGAAGGAGACACAGAATCTGAAGCAGGCTCCAGGCTATGAGCTGTCAGCACAGAGCCCGACACCGGGCTCAAACTCACAAACCTAGAGATCATGACCTGAGCCTAAGTCAGACGCATAACCGACTGAGCCACCCAGGCGCTCCATGTGTGTATTTTTAAAGGTTTTATCTATTTATAAAACACTTGGGTTCTTGAATGTTCAAAAGTTCACTAACTCTAGTCAGTTCTAATGATTTTGTTTGGTTGTTTAAAAATATTTGTATAGAATCTGTGGTATATTTTTTATAAAGCATGAACCAGGTTTCCTCCACTATTTAATTATTAAAAGATGTTTCATTGAAGTTTATCAATATAGATTTAATTCCAAATTTTTATTTACCCATAACAAGGATTTACAATGGAATAGCAGAAATGATTCTTTGAAGGAATTTTATAAACATTTCTATATGTTGGAAAATAAACTAAAGAAAGATTAATATAGATGAATAATTAGTGGGATTAAGAGGATAATAAGTGCTGAAGATACTGATACTAATCATGTAGTTTTACCACATTTTAAATTAGGTAGAAACTAGTCATTCATTGGTAAAAATAATAAAGATTTTAAAACACGTGAAGAATAATTCCCAGGATTTATGTGATTAGCTTTTATTAAATATTTGTATTTTTGTGGCATTAATCACAGAATAAAAGGTAGTGTCAATTATTGATGACTAGATTTTTTTTTTGGTTAATATGTTTGCTCTGTGAATTTCATTCTTATTTATATACCTTAAACTCTTCCAGTTGTTAGATAAGGATGATTTTGGACAAATGATAATCATTATCAGCTTATGTAGAGCTACTGCTAGACTCATCTATTTTTATAGCTTGTTATCTTTATTTTAATTTATTTGATTGTAGAAATGCAAGAGAGTGGGTATAGTACAATGTTCATCATCTTGTAGTGGATGGCAGGAATTGGAAGAATTAAGCTTGAATTCTAAATCCATGGCTTATTAACTTTGAAATCACAGTTGCCTTATCCATAAATAAAGTACTGGTTGTAATCAACTCATGATAAAGTATATAGAGAAATATTAAAAACATGCACATATGCTTGTTCCAATTAAATACAATAAATTGCTATTTAAGAACACAGGGGAAGTCAGAGTGGATGCAGGGACCTCATTTTTAGAGAGAGGTGTCTTGTACTACCACCAGTCTCCATTTTAGAGTATTTATATAAGTGTCTGTTTTGATGCATTGAATTGCCCTTTTATTTTCTTTGATAATAATTTTTATCAGATTCTATTGCCATCTGTCAACAACTTATTTCACAACCTAATCTTTGAATTACATGTAAACTAAATGGTAAATTAATTGGAACTTATATGAATAAAACCATAGCTCAAGGAAGCATATGGTCACATATATAATGTATATGTATGTGTGTGTATACATATATATGTGTGTGTGTGTGTGTGTACATACATACATATATACACACACAATTAATTTGAGCTATTAACATTTTTGAGTATCTGTTAATCACTTTTGGTAGGTTGGTAGAGATAAATACTGATAAGGCTTATGTTTTAGTTATCTATTATTACTGAGAGATAAAACAACCCAAAATGTATTAGCTCAAAACCACACTGATTTATGATTTCTCAGGCCTCAACAGGATAATTCTTTTGCTGTAGGTTAAGCAGAGGTCAGCAGTGCAGCTAAATTCAGCTGTTGAGGTTGACCAGAGCTGGAACGTCTAAGACAACCTGTTATCTTCCAGAGTTCCATTCCATATGTTGTCCCATCATTTAAGAATCTAGTTTAAGATATTTTACAGTATGGTGGCTACCTTAAGAGGGAATTTTTCACATGGGCAGGTGAAGAGTGGGTATATTAGGGGGTAGTACACAAGGGGGTGAATACCTGGAAATATGTTTATAGGGAGCTGGCAATGTGACAGTATATCACAGTCCACTCTCTGGATTCTCAAGATTAGTGTCTCTCCTTCATGTACACAACCCCACATTCTCCCAAACATTTATTCCATTATGGCATCATGTTGAAGTCCAGAAGAGCACTGTTAAAACCAGCCCCAGACGTAAATGAAGCTTCATAGCTCAAGTTCCTCTTGATCTGGAGAAATAAGAACTAAAAAGATACACAGAACACATGGGATAGGGACAGGATAATTGTAAAAGATTTTCCCGTTCCTAAAGGCTGGGAACACAGCAGTTACTGGTCCATTGTGATTCTGAGATACAGCTGGATGTTGTCAAGATCTCTTATAATAAGGGAGGGTAATGAATGGTCTTTGATTGGAGCCCAGTTCTGCTCCCTGGGATTGGTTCTCTGTGGTACTTAGTTTCATTCTGTGGTTTCTGGCTCTGCCTTCTGAGTCATCCCGTCCCTCCCTCTCTCCCTCCTTCCTTCCTTCCCTCCCCTGTCTCTGTTTATTTTCATCTTCCTTATTTATAAGAATTATTTATGTGTCTGTTTCACAGGGCTGTCAGATAAAGGAGTATTTTAAAAGCATGTGTGTAATTAAGGGTAAGAAATTTATTGCTATGAATGGCCATAGCATTGAGAACCAAGCTCTGCTGATAGTTAAAGGTGGACACTAGTGGTATACCTATGGAGTGCTCTGTGTCTTCTCATTTCTGTGAAATAGGGAAGTTTTATTCAAGGAGGGTTACAGTAGATCTGGTTGCTTTAGATCTGGAAATCTCTAAAAATATCTTTACCCCTCATTTATAAATCAAGATGCTAAATTACTGAGAACAGAGTTTTATTCCCCAGGGCCACTCAGTAACTAATACCAGAGTAAGAACTAAAACCTAAATATTTTTAAGTCTGGTCTTTGTGTTTTTCCTCCCTACTTTGTTCCTTCTCCCATTCCTCAGTTTTCTCTTTCTGTTTCTCTTTGATTTCCTCATTCCAGGCATCTATACCCTTAATCCTGATTTAACTTTTCCTGCCTGTCCACCAGTGCAGAGGAGCCCTAAGTTATTATTGATCATTCATTAGGGCTTTTTTTCCTGTGTTTATATTTTGGAATCTGATATGAACACAGTTAGGACAGTATCTACATATCTATTCTGAAATTCAGGATACTGATAATGATGGAAAAATTTATAGGCTTACCTGAACTTTGCTATTAGATATGATAAACAGGAAAAATTATAATGAGGTTTTAGGGATTCTGATAATTTACTTGAATAGATTTGAGAACTCTTGGTCTGCTATATAACAAAAACACGGTAAGCTGGTTTAAAACAGAATTAATCTGTGTTTACTCATACTGTCAATTATTTATGAATGATGTGTATTTATTTGCATTTAAATAACTCATCATTATATTTTATCCTAAAACTTATACTACTCAATATTTGAACATGTGATTCATTTCCCTGTAATATTGTTAAGGCATATCTAGATCCAAATGCTAGGTGCGTAAAGGGGAGAGGTTCTTTTATTCTTGCTATCAATCAGGTTTAAATAGACATAAATATTATATTATGCAGATATGCTAAAATTTAAAACCAAACAGTCATTTAGGTTATTCTGTTATATATAGTAAGCAGTATTTTATTCTCGGCACAAATCTCAACTTATTTTTCATAACTATTTTAATTTTATCTCACAGGTTTATAATTAAAACTGTCATACTTAGGCATAGTGGTGTTACATATTTTATTTTTTTAATTGTCTTAATTTATTCCACAAAGAATTTGAATAAAAAATAATGTTGATTCATGAAGCATTAATTTACATCAAATAGTCTTTCACTGCATATATCTAAGAATATCTTAACACTATGGAAGAAATAATTGGAAACAATTAACATGAAA